GAGGAGTTTAGGTGCAGTGTTTGGGAAGCTATGTCTGTGAGTCTGAAGTCAGGCAGCTGGTGGTGGCATTGGTGCTGCCATAGGTCAGTGGGACAGTGGAAAGATGAGCCGGATGGGAAGTAGAGAGCATCAGAAAAGAAAAGAAGGAAATTTAGATAATTAGAGTGTGATCTTATGAACACCAGCTAATTTTGTGAACTTCCATTTTTCTAGCTGTGAATGTAGATAAAATATTTAGGAGCTGTTTAAGTGTCTAACATTTTTTAAAATTCAATTTATTCTGCAAATTTTTAAGTTGAAAATGATTTTTAACATAACAAAGTATTTTCAGCAATTTTGATAATTGACATATTGACTTTTGATAAAAAATTATAAATATCTGTCTAATGTATTATATACCTACTTTATTCTCACCATCATCAGTTTTAAAAATACATGAATTAGCTCTTCCTTAACATCCAGAAATTTTACATAATTTCATTTTTCTCCTTGAGCTCATATTTCCATTCCATTTCTTCCATAAAATTTTATCCTAACATAATATATTTTTATGCTTGAAGGTCTTTTATTGATAGCATTTTATATATTTCTGCAATAAAAATATGTATATAAATTGAAATTAATTTTTATGTTTTCTGTGACCACAAGGCGTCATCTTTTTATCTAGATGAAGAGATTATTGCAATTATTATTGGCACATTATTGAATAAAGTATCATAAGTACATTATAGATGTTAATATGTGATCAAAAAGTTAATTAGGAATGAATACACTTTTTAATATGTCATGGGACTCTGTCCTCTGATAGTGAGAAATTTGAGTTCTGTTGTCAGCAATACGTATACCTACTTAAGCAATCGCATACATGTAACAACCTGCTCTTCCATTGCCCCATTTCCATAGTCTCCTTACCTCCCTTGAGAATTTCCCGTGCAGTTTGATTTCTGTTCATGAATTTTCTACCTACCCCTATATCTTCAAGATATTTACCTAATTTGTCTTCTAACAGATTTAGTGTTTCTGTTTTAATATTCAGATCTTTGATACATTTAGATTTTAGTTTAGTATATGGTGATATGCATGGGTCTAGTTTTAGTTTTCGGCATATGGAGAGCCAATTTTTCCAACACCATGTATTAAATAGACTGTCGTTCTTCCGGTGAACATGTTTGGCCCCTTTTTCAAAGAAAAGGTGGTTGAGTGTGTTTGTAATTGTGGTTGTATCTTCTTTTTATTTTTTTGTGGTTGCATCTTCTAATCTATTCCATTGATATTCAGATCTGTTTTGATTCCAGTACCAAGTTGATTTTATTACAGTAGCTTTGTGTATAACTTCAAGTCAGGGATTGTGATGCCTCCTGCCTTGCCTTTCCTGCTTAGAATTGCGTTTGCTATTCTAGGTGTCTTCTGGTTCCAGATGAATTTTAGGAGTGATTTCTCTAGATCTATGAGGTATGCTGATGGTATCTTCATTGGGATTGCATTGAATCTATATAACAGTTTTGGGAAAATGGTCATTTTCACAATATTTATTCTTCCTATCCATGAACAAGGGATGTCTCTCCATTTTCTGAGATCCTCTTTGATTTTATTTTTAAGGGTATTATAATTTTCCCTGTATAGATCTTTTACTTCTTTTGTGAGATTAATTCCTAAGTTTTTTGTTTTTTTTGGATGCTAGTGTGAAGAGTGTGGATTCTCTTATTTCTCTCTCTGTGATTTTGTTGTTAGTCTACAGAAATGCTATTGATTTTTGAGGATTTTGAAACTACCTATATTGCTGAATTTATTTATTGTATCTAGGAGTCTTTCAATGGAGTTTTGGGAGTCTTCTATGTAGAGTATCATGTCTTCTGCAAATAATTATAATTTAACTTCTTCTTTTCCTGTCTTTACTCCTTTTATTTCTCTCTCTTGTCTAATTACTCTGGCTAGTAATTCCAGTACTATGTTGAATAGAAGCAGTAATAAGGGACATGCTTGTCTTGTGCCTGATTTTAAGGTAAAGACCTTCAGTTTTTTCCATTTAATATGATTCTGGCTGATGGTTTGTTGTAGATGGCCTTTATCATATTGAGGTAAAGACCATCTATTCCAATTTTCTGTAAGGTTCTTACAATGAATGAGTGTTGGACCTTATCAAAAGCTTTTTCTGCATCTCGAGAAATGATCATGTGATTCTTACTTTTGGCTTTATTGATATGGTAGATAACATTTATTGACTTACATATGTTGAACCATCCCTGCATGCCTGGGATGAATCCCACTTGATTGTGGTATATAGTCTTCTTGATGATTTGCTGCATCCTATTTGCCAATATTTTATTGAGGATTTTTTTTTCATTTTATTTAAAAGGAAAAAGAGAAAAACACAAAACAAAACAAAGCGGTGTAAGGGTACAAGTAATACAGAACTACAGTAAAAAAAAGTAAGAAATCACCAGTTAATAGATTACATATTATCATCTTAGAGATAGTTGCTCAAATGACAGTATCAAAGCATACAAAGTGGACATTCAAACAGTGAGACTGCAAACAATTGTGTTCAATGATCCAACCAAAAACATTAATATGGTCAGCTATTTAACACTCCTAAACACACTTGCTGTTGTATCCATTAGAGCTCTTTTTTTCCTCCTTTTTTACAACAAAATCCACAAATTTTGGGTTTTATTACTCCTTAGGTCTTATTACTTTTTTGGGGGGTGAGAGAATAAAGTCAAATATGGCAAAACAAAGCTGTCAGTCAAAACCAAGGATAGACATAGCACATGATGTAAAACAGAGTACAAGGTTATAAACAATGGTTATCAACAATGTCTCTTGTTTCCTTAAAAAGAATTGTCTATCTCATTAGATATTATAAAGTTGAACAAAACAGTAGAGAACAAGACCAATAAAACTTAAGCATTGTATACATTACAGGACTTCCAAAGGAGACAATAGTCAAACCAGAATGGGCATCTTAGTGAATGTTATTGCCTTCAAAGTAGTTGCCTATACCCTCAAACTTGATACTATCATACAGAATGGAACAGAGTCTAATCAGTCAAAACAAGATAGTGGGAGTATTACAGGACTTCAAAACAAGTTAATAGGAAATAAAAAAAAGTTACTATTATATATCCTGCTAATTTTTTTAATTTTTCCCCTTAATTAAAAAAACCATAAAAAATAACTAAATAATTTTTTTAATGAATAAGGGAGAGATTGAGATAAAAGAGGACATAACAATATAACAACACAGGTCAAAGCATGACTGTTTCAGCAACCTAGTGCTTCACCACCAAATAACCCTACTTAATAGTAGTTACCATAGTGTCTGTCTTTTTCCTTGAAATATTTGAATAAAACTTCATATACTATAGCTTCAAATATTTCCATATCAAGAAGCCCAGAATAAAGCCTTCCCAATTAATAAGTGAAAACTTTATAAGGCTTCAAGGCCACATAATGGGGAATCATGATTACCACATATTTTTATATATTTGAATTATTACTTACATTAGGGAAACTATTCGGTATTCACACATGCGAGATTGATTTATTTCACTTATGAGTATGGTCTCAAGCTGCGCCTATTTATTGATAAATATCTCAATGTGATCCTTCTTTATAGCTGAATAATACCCCATTGTATAGAAATACCACAACTTTTTTATCCATTCCTCAGTTGATGGACACTTGGGTTGTTTCCAAGATCTGGTGATTACAAATTTTGCTGCTATAAACATAGGTGCACATATATCACTGTGGTATGATGCTTTCAGTTCTTCTGGGAATATGCCTAGAAGTGGAATAGCTGGAATAAATGGGACTTCCAATCCCAGCCTTTTGAGAAATCTCCAGACTGACCTCCACAAAGGCTGCACCAGTCTACACTCCCACCAACAGTGTAGGAGAGTTCCTTTTTCCCCACAGTCTCTCCAGCATTTGTTGTTGTTGGTTTTCTTGATCCTGGCCATTCTTTCAGGAGTGAGATGGTATCTCAGTGTGGTTTTAATTTGCATTTCTCTAATGACCAATGATGATGAACATTTTTTCATGTATTTATTTGCCATTTGCATTTCTTCATCTGAGAAGTGCGTATTCATCTCACATGCCCATTTTTTGATTGGATCTTTGAATTTTGGGGGTCTGAGTTTTTTTAATTCTTTATATGTTTTAGACAAGAGTCCCTTGTCTGAGAAAGAGTTCACTAAAATCTTTTCCCAGTTTGTGGGTTTTCTTTTCAGTATGCTGGAGATTTCTTTTGACATGCAGAAACTTTTTAATAAGAAGTGGTCCCAATTATTGATTCTGGTAAGTATTTCCCATGCGGTTTGTGTCCTGTTCATGAATTCTCTACCTACTCCTATGTCTTCAAGGTTTCTACCCAATTTGTCTTCCAATAGATTTAGTGTTTCTGTTTTAATATTCAGATCTTTGACCCATTTAGATTTTAATTTAGTACATGGTGATAGACATGGGTCTAGCTTTAGTTTTCGGCAAATGGAGAGCCAGTTTTTCCAGCACCATTTATTAAAGAGACTGTCGTTCTTCCAGTGAACCTGCTTGGCTCCTTTATCAAAGATAAGGTGGTTGAGTATGTTTGTAGTTGTGGTTGTATCTTCTAATCTATTCCATTGATCTTTGGCTCTGTTTTGATTTGAATACCATGTTGATTTTACTACTGTTGCTTTGCAGTATAACTTCAAGTCAGGGATTGTGATGCCTCCTGCTTTGTCTTTGTTGCTTAAAATTGCCTTTGCTATTCTAGGTCTCTTCTGGTTCCAGATGAACCTTAGGAGTGATTTCTCTAGATTATTGAGGATTTTTGCCTCTGTGTTCATAAGGGTGATTGGACGGTAGTTCTCTTTTCCAGTTGGGTCATTCTCAGGTTTTGACACTAGAGTAATATTTGCTTCCAGGAATGACTTAGGAAGGATTGATTCCCTTTCGATTTCATTGAAGAGTTTGAGAAGTGTTGGCATTAAAAGTCTTCTTTGTATTTCTTGTAGAATTCCACAGTGAATCTGTCTGGACCTGGGCTCTTCTTTGTAGGTAAGGACTTAATTACATTTTCAATTCCATTAATAGAGATTGGGTTATTCAGCAGTTTTACATCTTCTTGACTCAGCTTTGGTACTTCATATGTTTCTAGGAATCTGTCCATTTCTTCTGTGTTATTGAACCTATAAGAGTAGAGGTTTTCAAAATAAGTGTTGATGATCTTCTGTATTTCTACAGTATGTAGTGATTTCACCTTTTTCATTCCTTCTTGCATGAATTTGAGCTTTTCTTCCCTTTTTTAAATTAAATTGGCAGGGCTTATCAATTTTATTTATTCTTTCAAAGAACCAACTCTTTGATTCATTGATTCTTTGCATTGTTTCCCGGAGTTGCTTCTTTATTTCAGTTGCTATTATTTCAGGTATTTCAATTGTATTACATATATTTTCTTCTATGTACATGGCTCCTAGGCTTTCTTGGGATGGGCTGGAGGTTTGAGATTGGATTTTGGTCTTTTGTATTGTCATTTTCCTATATTTCCATGTTTTAAGTGATGTCCCAAAGCTTCCCTTGGGTGTATTGGAAATCATCTCCTATGACCTTGGCCCCTGGGACTGAATGGCGGTTGCTGAGTATGGTCCAGTCAGGCCCACAGGTGAGCCACCTCCAGTGTTCCAGGAAGCTGGGTGGGCACCTAACTACTGTAGATGATGATCCAAAGCTCTCCCCGGTTAAGGGCCAATGTGCTGGAACTCACTCGACTCCCCTGATTGAAAAAGGTCTCTGGGCATGGTCTAGTTGGGCTGCAAAGCCTCTCAAGCCTAGTCTAATGTGGCTGAAAGCTGAGCAGGTTCTTGACCACTGGGAACAATGATCTTAAACTTTCCCGGGCCTGAGCAGGTGTGGAGGAACTCATCTCCAGAAGCCCAGTTCCCGGATTGAAAGAAGATCACTGGGCATGGCCCAGTCAGGCCAAGAAACCTGCAGAGTCCAGTCTAGTGTGGCTGGAAGTTGGGCGGGTTCTTGACCACTGGGAAGAATGATCTTAAACTATCCTGGAGCCTGAGCTGGTGTGCAGGAACTCCCTCTGGCAGTCCAGTTCCCAGGATTGAAAGAAAGTCACTGGGCATGGCCAGCGAGTCCTGAAACCTGCAGAGCCCAGTCTAGTGTGGCTGGAGCTGGCGGGTCCTTAATTGCTGGGAGCGATGATCTTAAACTCTCCTTGGGCCCTCCCGTAAGTGTCCTGCCTGACTTTTGGACTGCATTATTCAGAGCAAATGAGGAAGAGAAGAATGGCAATAGATGGGTTCATGCATTTTTGTAAATTCTTACTCTTGCAGTTCTGTGACTGATAGATAAACAGACAGATAGGACACAGATCCTACCTTATTCTATTATGCTGTTATAATAGAATGTCTGAGACTGCATAATTTAAAACAATACAACTCTGGATACCTGGACATCTACAGTTGAGAGGCCTTTCCTTTTGTATCACCCCATGGCAGAAGGTAGAAGAGCAACAGAAGATGAAGGAGAGAGGAGAAAGAAACTAATTCATCCTTGTCTGAAGAACCCACTCCCACAATAATGGCATTAATTCACTCTTGTAGGCAGAGCCTTCATATTTAATGACCTATTAAAAGATCCAACCTCTCAACGGTGTTTCCAACACATGATCTTTGTAGGACACAAAGTATAATAGAGCCTTTCCTTGGGTTTTTTACCTAGGAAAATAGTGTAAGAGCTTTTAATATTTACCACTAACCATCTTCTTGTTTGCTCAAGACTTTTCCCAGGCTTAGTAGTTTCTCTGATAAGAGTAAGGGAGATAGAAAAAGATATACATCTTTAAAAGAGAATTCTCACTATTCCTCTATAATTATACAACCATATGTGATTCAAAATATTGCAGCACAGGAAAGTATTCCATTTCTAATCTTCACTTTGTTTAGAATAGAAAATTATGCAAGGAAGGCAAAGACTAATGCCCTCTCAAAAGCTTGTATAGACTTAAGGAAGGTTTTGGACACTTGAGTCAAGATAGGTGGAAAAAGAAAGTGCCCTTTTCTTTTATTATGTATTTAGTTGTGAGGTGGAGAAGTGAGACAGGAAAACCAAAGTGAAACCTTGAGTACAGGCCTAATCACAGGAAAATCAAAAAGTAGAGATTTAGAGTATGAAAAGATCTTTATTAAATCTTTTAATTTCTACAAAGCTAAAAATCTACATAGATGTTTACAGTGTACTTACCTAGTTTAGGAATCATTGCTCTATTACTAACAAAATTAAAAAGTAGCCATAAATATTAATGGGTTTATAAGTGTGAAAAAAATAACACTTGCAGATGTTCATGGGATTGAGATAAAATATATTTAGATGTCACTCATTAAAAAGAGTAAGAAATGAGTGTGAATTTTACTTTGCTTCTACAAGGTAGAACAATATGTAGTAAAAGTCATAGTCATAATTTTTGTCTTAATTTTTTCTTATTTAAATCCAACTTCTCGTATTAATATGCTCACCTCTGTCATATTATTTCAGCTGTTTAATAAAATTATCACAACTTTTTAGATTTAAAATGTGAATTTTAAATTCCAAAGGCAAGAAATGCTTTTAGCAGTTCTTTACTTACCTATACAGTTTCATCATTCAGCAGACAGTTGAATTAAGCACAGAGGCAGGCATGGCTCAGGGAACATATTAGTGGGTGGAATTAGATACAGTGTCTGCATCCATGGAGATACAGTCTATTCTTTTGACTGCAAGCTAAGAGATCATAGTTTAAACCAAACAATGAGGACCAGGTGCAGGACAGGGATGAGCTGGCCAAATTGAAAGACCAGAAACTGCTTTACTTTAATTGTACTCTATAGTTATGAAATGTTTTAAATTTTTGGTCTTTTTGTTTAATGTTTTATTGGGGGGCAGCTTTTGTACTATTCATAACCAGTCATTCTGACTGAATTTATTCTTTCATTTCTGAGAAACCACAGTAATTAACCTGCACAGTCATCTTACAGTTTCACTATTTATCAATAAAGTCAGATTTCAGATACTAAACTTCTATTACATCTCATGGTGTGAGACTCACATTTGAAACCAGTTTGTTTTCTCCATTGATGACATCTTAGTATGTGTTTCCTACCTCTGCTTATAGGCAACCAGATTTACCACAGTCTTGACTTTGAACTGCTTGTGACAAGCCTGTTCTGATCGTGTTACATAGCACCTGTTCAAGCCTCAATCCAGATGCCCTAAAATGTGCCTGTCTTTTGGGTCGGCCACTCCTCCCAGTGTGCACAGGTCTCAGTTGTCCTCAGAAGAGCATTCTTCTCTCGATTTTCCTCTGGAGGCTGTTCATTTCAGAAGACATTTAACTCAGAATTCTCAATTTTGTTTTATAGGCTTTTGATGATGTAGTGCTAAAACTGACTGATTTTGAACTTGCTTTTTTTCTGATAAAATTTCTTGTGACTATGGTTGAAAATAATTTTGAAAACAATCATTTCTGAAAACTAATAAACACTGGGAAACCATACTCATTCAAAGTATAAAGCAATTTAAAATATATCATATTTATAACAAATATAACAAATTGAGATATTTGAAATTCTGCTCTTTCAACGTCCTACATATAATTTATATTATTTTTCATAGTATTTAGGCAGTATTTTAATTTAAACCATTCTAAACACAGTCTCAAAATTTGATGAAAACGCTATCAATGTGTTTTCATAAGATATGCCTTTAAAAAGACAAAGACTTTATTTAAAAATATCTCATGATGATACACTTCTGTGAATTCTTTGCCACTAGAAGTTGGAATATATTGCCAGACATTTTCTTGATGAAGACAACGTATTTTCCTGTCTTAGTCTGATCTGTGATGTTATATCAGAATAAAAACACTGGATAATTTACAAATAATAATCTCACAGTTCTGGAGAATGGCAACACCAAGATTACTGGCTCTCCTAATGACCCAATCTCTGGTTCTGAGACAATAAGGGGTCACTATGATGAGGAAGTAGGGGCATAGAAGATTGGATGACAAGATAAGGCCGCCAGCATCATAAACTGTTAACTTTGTAGTATGACATGTTTTAAGACACCTTGATAAAATCACAGAAGCAGAATATTTTGATGAAATGAGGAAGTTTTACCAAGAAAAATCCTAAATAAGCCCTCTAGCCTCACTTGTTCTTTAGTCAATTTATAAATGACTGATTTTGTAGAACACACTGCTGGCAATACACTGTTCGTTTCCCACTAACACTGCTGTAGATAACAGCTCTGACCTATCAGTTATGATAACAGTTGTCTGCATTACTTCCCAGTAATGGCCACTGAAGGCCGCTTTTGCTGAAAACATTGACCTTTCACTTGAGCTTGCAGAAATCTGATGTGTGAATGAAGGAGGTTACAAGGCTTGGCATCTCTTTCTCCCATTATTTCTGTCTCCTTTGGTGCCTTAACTCCTGTATTGAATTCTACTCAGCCTTGCATAAAAAAATGTTGACCATTTAAAATGTTTAGTCCAGGACTATAACATAGTTAATTTGACCTGCAGCCCATGGGATTTTGTATTTTTCAGTTTCTCTCTTTTTCACTTGGCCTGATTTCATTTCCACCATCTGTGGATAAAAAGATCCTTTAATATGATGTCAGTTCCAAGATAATATCTTGACTATTGCATCCTCTAGAAGTGAGGAATACTGTTACCTGACAGAAGAGCAAAATGAGAAAACTCCTTAAAATGCCTTTCTAAAGGCACAGAGTCTGTACAAGAGGGTAGAATCTTCACCACCTAATCATCTCCTACATGTCCCACTTCTTGTTATTATTACAATTGCAATTAAATTTCAAAATAAGTTTTGGAGGGGACTCACACTCAAACCACAACTTCCGAGCTCTCTACAACTCAACTTTCCTAGACGATCCCAGGGAAGTAACATGTGTAAAGCATAACTTTGGTATGGTGACAGTGACCTAGCAGTATTTGGACATTATCTGATTTAAGGGCAAAGCATAACCCAGAGAATATTTGATTA